GAACTGTAAAACAGAGTCAATCTTTTCCTCGATTCAGGATTTGAACCGGTGACTTGGGACACCGTAAATTATCCCAAGTGGCAACTCTGAATTTTTAATAATAAATGAATCCCATTTCGTTGTCACTTTAAGTTGAAAAAAACTCTCTTATACCCTTTCCGGGGTGTAGGAAAAAAAGAGGTGTGACAACTGAAATACCATATCTTAGTAGAATTAGGGCATTAATGAACCTTGCTAATAATTCTAGACCAGATATAGCTTTTTCTGTAAGCTTGTTAGCAAGATTTAATTCTTCCCCACACAAAGACACTAGAATGGTGTTAAGCATCTATTCAGATATCTACGAGGGACTACTAATATGGGAGTATTTTATTCAAATGGATCTAGGTCAAAACTGATTGGTTATGCAGATGCAGGATATTTGTTTGACCCAAATAAAGGTCGATCTCAACAGTCTATTTATTTACATGTGGAGGTACTGCCATATCATGGCATTCAACAAACAAACTATGATTGCTACTTCTTCAAATCATGCAGAGATAATAGCCAGTCATAAAGCGAGTCGAGAGTGCATTTGGTTAAGATCAATAACTCAACATATCCAGGAGATATGTGGTCTTTCATGGGGAAAGGATATCCCAATACATTATATGAAGACAATGCTACATTAATAACTCAACTAAAAGGGAGATATATTAACGGGGATAGAACAAAACATATTTCATCAAAATTCTTTTTCACGCACAGTATTCAAAAGAATGGTGAATTAGAATTCAACAAATTCGTTCAAGTGATAATTTGACAGATTTGTTCACTAAGGCATTGCCAACATCAACATTTGAGAAGTTAAGATACAAGATTGGAATGCGCTGTCTCCAATATATCAAATAAGGTTTTTATCAGGGGGAGAAATACGCGTTGTACTCTTTTTTCCTTAACCAAGGTTTTGTCCCATTTGGATTTTCCTGGTAAGGTTTTTAATGAGGCAACTCTTAATGCGTATTACAAGATATGTGTACTCTTTTTCCTTCACTAAGATTTTTCCACTGGATTTTCTTAGTAAGGTTTTAACGATGCACATTATCTGTTAGTGGACATCCAAGGGGGAGTGTTATAAATCCTGCAAATGGATCCATCCACTTGCAACGATGGATGTCTTCCATAACAGGTTTTGGATTGGTTATGTATCCATAACATGTTTTGGATTGGTTATGTATCCATAACAAGTTTTAGATTGGTTATGTATTCATAACATGTTTTGGATTGGTTTTGTAACAACGAAATAGTTCTATAAATAGGTTCACTAATGAACTTATTTTCCACACTCTAAAACAAAGGAATAAATTTTCTCTTCTAATGTTATCATTCTCTTCTATTATTAGTTCTAGTTAATTACATGGTTATTGCTATATTTCTTTTATTTTATAACATGGACTATACTTCCCCTAGAAACCTGTTAAAATAGTTGATATAATATTATCTTACATGGATTGTTGATGCGACAGCCATTTCTTAAGATACAATTAGATTAATTAGATTTCTATAAACCTAATCTTTTTCAAAATATTTTAGATATACTTATTGGAATCAACCGAATATTCTACTAGTTTAATTTGCCGGTAGGTTTAGTACCCACCGGCTTGTCCTACTGACCTTTGTTTATTCCTTTTGAAAGGTTCTTTCAATTTGGAAGTCATTTTTTAATTACAAATTCGGTAAGACAGAGAAGCTTCGCAGTCCTACCTTCCATTCTAAAACAAGACAGGTAATTTTTAATAAAAAAAAAAAAATGCATTTGGTCAATCGTCCAATTTTCTTGAATACTCAAAAAGATGGACCATCAACTCTGTTATTTTAATATTTATTTTTTTCCATATCGAGTTGTCAATAAAATTTTAATCAGACGACAAACAATAAGGGATCTTAGGATATATTAGAAAAAATTATATATATATTAACTTTGGTATTATTAATCTTTTGTTTAGTAGTATTTTTTAATTTATGTATAACTAATACAATTATATTCTTATACATAACAAATCATGTCATTAGCAATATCATGAGTTTTAATACATCGATAAACATGTATAAAAATAAAATTATCCTTTCAAAACCTTTTCCAAATTCTTTCCAAAAAATGCGAGAGTATTTTTGTAAACAAATATAGTAATTTTTATGCAATGCATGTTATCTTTAATATGCCATTATTAACCAACTATTACTAATACGCTATATTCAGTATTATTTTTATATTCCTATCAAACGAGGTCACAAAATTTCTGACCTTCAAAATTAATGCGTTGACCCTTTTATTTAAATCCGAAATAAAAAGAAAGAGGAAGGAAATGGATGCCAATATTTGTCTAATCTTCTTTTTTTCTTCCTAAATCCTCCTGAATCTTTTCATCCAGAAGTAGTACTAAGTTAGTACTGTATTTCATTAGCTTTTCGTTGTTCCTTTTATTTTTGGGTTGTTTCTCATGTATCTTTATCTTTTATAGCAGAAAAAGGGAACTGAAAGAAAAATAAGATACAATTGCATCCACACAAAACAGTCAAATAACAGCCAAACACAAGCCCACACGTAAATCCTAAGAACCAAAGATACAGCTATCATGGCACTTCAATTATTATTATTATTATTATTATTATTTTTTAACATACTAGTAATACTTTAATTGATTGCATATTTCACCATTTCCCACATATGAGTAACTAATTACATTTTCATATTCGCCCTTCTTTTTCATTCATTGCTTCGGTTGTCAGATTCCATTTTACAGTGCAAAATAATACTAACAATCACGAAATCATAACATATTGATTGTATCTCACGTTTTTGCCCCCCTTTCACGGGTTCTTTGCCTTTTCTTCATCATTTTCCTTTCGGTCACTTTCTTCTACACCCCATTTCGCAACAAATCTTTCTCCAAATACTCTTTTTTTATTTGGCATTCTTATCCGTTTTTCCCCCCCTGGGTTTTCTGTAATGTGGTGGGCTGCATGCTGTTGATTTCTGAAATCTGCATATTTTCGCGGGGTAAGAAGCAATGTGTGTGTTTGTTTTTAATTTTGATCTACAAGCTTTTATATGTATATTGCTTATGTATCTTTGCTTTATTTTTCTGGGTATTGATCTGACCTTTGCATTATTCAAGATTTGACCTTTGATTTGGCAGCATCTAGTGGTCATAAAAACACAATCTTTAAAATGGGGTCCGTGAATATAGCAACTAGTGCCGTTGTTTTTTGACCAGGGAAGGGGGTGGGGAGGTTTTGTGTGGAAAGAAGGTTAAATTACTTTGCTATTAATTCACTGTCCATAATGTCATAATGCTGTGGTTTGGGTTATTTAGGTACAATTTGTTCTCTATTTATCTGAAGGTTTCTTTGAGCTGGAATTTCTAGTGATTTTAGTGGTATGATAGTTTGCAGGACTACTTGTTGTTTTTGAGTTAGTATTACCAAGTGGCTTAGGAGTCTTCGCAGACAAGTAATTTTAAGTTGTGCATGATCCTTACCATGAGCTCTTTTACTTCCAGTAAGGGGTCAAAAAGATCGAGTCAAGTTGGATCATGATTGTAAATTGTGATTTTGGAGGCTCGGGCCCTCCAACAGTTTAGGAGGCAAAAAAAGGAGGGAATATAAGGCAAAGTATAGTAAATGATGTTTGTTGCTTATATTTGAGTTTGTCATTAGTTTAGTTGAAATCCATTTGGGATACTGCCTGTATGTGGTTTGATCTGTAAGATATTTGCAGTTACTCATTTTATTTGAAAGATTTTGAAAGTTTCACTCCAAGTCTTTTTCACAACGCACATCCAATACATTTATTATGCTCAAACTCCTCACTAAACTGATATTTATAATGCTCATACTATATCAAATAACTCTGCAGGCTGATAGATATATTGCTAAATTTTCCATTTCAGGAAGCTGGGGGATGTATTTGCAGTGTACATGTGTAGGTGATGTTCATTTTATAATCGGAGATAGTAGTTAAAAAGAGAGCTAAAGACATGGCAACTGCAATGGGTAGAAAGGCAGCTCCTGCACGGAATATAGTTGCATTTAGATCTTATCAGAGTCGGGCTGAGACATTGGTTAAAACTTATTTGTTAGCAGATCCTTTTATACCTTACACTTCCGTCTTTGCTGGCATATTTGCTTGCAAAATGGTAATGTTTATCGATCATATATCTTTTATCTTTCTTGTGACTATTGAAGAAAGGACTTCCCTATTTTGATTCATAGCTGACACATATTTGATGAAGAAACTTTACATGTTCTTGATCTTCTTTGTCACAGTAGTGATGAAACATACAAAAGAAAAAGAAAGAAAATGTAAAGATTTGGAGAAAATTATAATATTTCTAATTGGTTTTTCAGAAAATAATAGAAGTATAGAGCATGTCCTACATAAGTTACTTTCATTTGCTGCACAATTTTTCCCCTGTACTTTCATTCCTTGTAAAACTGTTTTGGCTCTTCACAGGTCTATGATCTATGTCAGCTGATCAGCAGTTTTTACTTCAGGACGTACACTACCCTAACAAAAATTCAAAGGATTGAGTGGAACAACCGGTAAATATTCTATCTTTATACTTCCCAAGGTTTTATTAATTCACTACTCATGTTTGTGAGACTTATTTTTCTGCAGTGGCATGTCAACAGTCCATGCCATTTTCATATCTGCTGTGTCCACGTATTTTGCCTTCTGGTCCAATCTTTTCTCCGATCACAATCCTGATGGCCTTTTAATCACCAGAAGTTCACCGCTATCAACTTTTACGTTAGGGGTAAGTAATCTTCAACTGTATATGCTGAGTATTGTCTTGTTATACCCCTTCCCCTTTTGGGTTTCCTTGAAAGGTCTTGATTCAGGCATTCAAAATCCAGTGACGTATCTCTCTGGTTGTAGAAAAAAGATGACTCTGGTATTGATCCTTGTAATGCTAATGTAGATGGAACTTCAATTATAAATAATTAATTATGTAATAGCTGAATTCACCTCTATGTATGCTTCTTAACTAGAAAAAGTTAGGGCTCAGTTTTTCTTTGGCAAAAACGTTATTGGTTTGTTGTTTCCTGTATGGACCTATTACTCTTAGGGGAAAACAATTGAGCTTTGGGTTTAAAGGGATTCAAATTTACACTTTGCACGGGGTAGAATCCCTTTGGTGCCAGCTAAGCTAAGGCTTGTTTTCTTATGTGTCTTTTATGTTCTTCTTTTGTTTCTTTTTCCCTTGCCTTTTTTTGTGGGCAAACCAGGAGGTGAGGGTGCAGTGGTAGAGCCTTGATGCATGTTATTTGAAATATGGCGACATTTCCTTTTAAGACTGTTCTCTGATTTCAACTCGAATAACTTTCCTTGCATCAACTATTTGATACTGAAATATTAACCAAAGAAAAAAACCCAATTATACGGACTAAAATCATCTTTTGAGTTGAACATATTAAAATTCTTAGCAATATCCCAATTCTGAAGACCCGCATTGTTATATAGACATTTGCTGAGTCTCATATTTGGACCGCAATCCCCGTGGCCAGGGGCAGATTTAGGGCGGCGGAAGGGGGTTCGTACCCCCTTTGTCGGAAAACTGTACTATGTATATAGGGTTAATTTTCTTTTTTATGTATATATATANAAAACTTAGATCAATGGTCAAGGGGTCCAAATTTTGCTAAAAGTTTGCAGGTTTAATTCCCATTGAGCACAGTTCTTATCCTTTTAAATTTTTGAATCCCCTTCACAAATATCCTGTCTCCACCACTGCCTGTGGCCTGGCCTTCCAGGACAGAACACATACATGCACACACCACACACACACACACATATTTCTATATGGACACTTATATTTGGAATTGGGGGACGATATTTGACACTGACTAATTACCTTCGAAATAAGCTTAAAATAGTCTATTATTAACCATCTCAAATTGTCTAGCACTTTTGTTTTTCCCCCCGGGTAAACCAGCCACTTATTGAAGTGAAATAATACATCAATAAATCGGTTATACGATAATATATAAAGATTTATAACCTACATGAAAATGTTGGTCTCATACAGGGATATATTAGATTCACACAGGATTGAGTGAGAAGGGAATAATGAAGATGAAAAACCAGTTTTTGGAGTATCAACACCTTGTGTAATGGGGTGAGGGTTTGAGTTTGGAAGATATGTGGTGTTGCAGAATTGGAATAAAATGGACTTGATAGAGCGAAATGGATGTAGATGATTCATATGATGAACTAAGTAATTCAGAATGAGGCATAGTTGATTTATGCACGGTTTAATTGCATGGTTCGGGATGTTACTTTAAGGAGGTTAGTCAAGATTGAGAAAAAGAGAAGATAAGGAACTATTTTGGAAGCTCTAACTGGTCCGGAGGGAATTCAAGAAGGATGTGATGTTGTTGAGGCCTGAGGGTCAAAGGAATGAAGATGTTGGTGAAATCATATAATTGGAAGATATATCGAGAGAGGAGGAAGGTGTGGAAGAACGTGTATGACACCAAAGCACGTAAGAAGGTTGTAATTTTCACTTTGGTGGACAACGTAATATTGAAGGTGGACAACATAAGGAAGAGGAGGAGAAGAATTGTGGTGATTTAATGCTGCTTGTGTAAGGAAATTGGTGAAAACACCGACCAATTCCTGTTACATTTTATATTCACTACACAGTTGTGGTATTCTGCCAGTTCTCTGTCAATGTTTGCTTGGTTAGCACCAACAACAACAAAAGAAACCATCATGAGCTGGAGGTATCTAAATATCAGCAAAGAGAGACAGTATGAAGAACTATGTTTTAATTTAAGCTAATGAGAGATGAAAGAAATAGGAGATTGTTCTACAGTAGTGCAGGAACAGAAGTAGTATAAGATGAACTTTTTTGCCTTATTTACTTTAATATTTAGAGGAACAGAAGTAGGGGAAAAGGATATCTTTTGTTTCATGTAATTTATTGGTGTGGGTAGAAAATATCAGCATTATAAATGATTAGGACAGATCAAATGAACTGTGGTTGAGTCACTCTCACTTTTTTACATATTGTCCACACCAGCTTGGCATCTCAAGGGATGGACTTTTCTATTTACAACCAGCCCCCCCACCCCACCACCAGCACCACGCACACACACAAAAAAAATATTAAGATAGCCGAGAACTAAAAGTCTTTCCTTTTTCTTAAAATGTTTTCTATAAATACAAAATACAAAAACGTATTGTTTCTTTTGTTTCCTTGTTATCCTATTGCAACAGTTTCCTGAAAGATATATAGCTTCAGCAACAAATAAATCGGTCCAAAAGTTGGTTATTATTTCTTTAAGCTGGTATTATGTCTCTTAGAATTCCATTATGTGGCTCATTAGCTTTATACCATGGTATTTGCACTATATCATTTGGTTTTGTGGATTGGGCTATGTGGTCATGTTGCATTATCTTGCTTAACATGATAGAGTCAATATAGCAGGCATGCTGGTCAGGACTTGCTAACCTAATTAGCTTAGAACTTGATTTACCTTTCTTATTTTCATGTGTCAGTAAGTAAATTAGATGTCAAATTTGTCATCTGGCTATTTTAATCCTCAGCTTGTGACATTGTCAGGTATCAGCTGGGTACTTCCTTTCAGACCTTGGAATGATTTGCTGGTTTTATCCTTCTTTGGGCGGATTAGAGTATGTAAGTATATATTCTCAAGTGGAAGACACTTCACTTAACATAGAAATTATTTTCTTAGTTTTGAACAAGCAATAGTTGTGTTTCCTGAAATCAGCCAGGCAGATATCTCCACCAATCTATCTCATTCATTTTTTCTTTCTTTTTCTTTCTTTTCCCTGTTGCGGTGCATCACAAAGTGGTTATCTGTGTTATGTGGCAAGTGATCCCCTTTGTTCCCTGCTCTCTGATAGGATCTTTCTGTTGCTAGGCTAAATGCTTGAATTTAAGGATAGATGCCATACTGTTTGGATCTTGGGTCTAGGTGTGGAAATGAAAAATAAACATAAATACCTGTAAATACTGTTGAGTGTTAATATTTACGTAATATTAGGTAGATATGAACGTGTTTGTGATACATGCTAGTTTTTTAGCTTGTTGTACAAGTAAGAAACACAAGGAACTTCACTTGATGAAGACTTCAGCATTTGATCTTCAACAACCACTAGAAAAGTTTAAAAAGTTCATACCTTTAAAGTAGATGCTGTGTTGTATGCTGGAAATATTGACCCATAGACAGCCATGGTTGGTTTTTAAACATTTGTACAGTGGAAAGAAAAGTAAAAGGGATCTTTTTATTTTGTTGTTATATGGACTAAATAATATGGTCGTAAGATGGAAGTACTAACCAGATAATTTAATTAAAATCAGACGTGTTGGGTGGTGGGTTACAAAATTTAACGTTTAACCTACCACATCTGTTTCTCAATGAATGCTTCTGCCAATCAGCTTGCAAATCACCAGTAAATTCACAAATTTGATTATGTTTTGGATTCTGGGTACTCCACATTGATTTCCATCTCGAAATATTCTTTTGGAAAAAGTTTAGGAATGACAAATTATTTTGGCAGGGTGTAGTTTCTGTAAAGTGACAAAGGGATGACATTTATCTCCTTGTTCTAATCTTAGGCTCGTTTAACGAGTTCTGGTGCACTTCTAGTGGAAACTGGGAAAAAGATAGAAAAGAAGATTGACCACTCCTTATTGACTTGGTGATTAACAATGTTCAAGAAGTGTTTCATATGTAGGACTTTAGAGGACAATAATTGTTAAGTTACTTGCTGGAGACTTAAGTTGGTAATGGAGAATCTAAATTTAGTCTCGCTGAATGTTTTTGTTGAGAAGACAAATTTCAGGTGCAGTGATGATTAATCACCAAGTTAATTTGTGGACTCGAGATTAAATAGTGAAGTACCTCGGGGAGTATTATGCAAGTTAGATATTGAAAAGGCATATCATATTCTATTAGGAGTTTCTGTTGTATATTAAAGGGGTTTGAAGTGGGGATTGAAAGGAAATGGATTATGGGTTTCTATCTTTTGCTATTCCCTGAATGATGCCTTAATTTTTGTGGGCCATAATGCAGAAACTTATAATATTTGTGTAGAACTTGATTCGGTTTGCAGCCGAATTAGGACTATATACTAACACACAGAAGTCTGAGTTGGTAGAGATGTGAGATTTGCAAAATATTCACACAGGCGAGTATTTTGTGGTTGTAGGACAACAACATCACAGATCATTTATCTGTGATTACCACTCAGAAAAGAACTCAAAAGATTTCTAACAACAGGTAATTGATAATTTTAAGAGGTTGAACAGTTGAAAGAGACATATATGCTTAAAGGGGAAAAAAATACACTATGGAGGTCTATTTTAGATAATATACCTACTTGTATTTGTTTCATATGCCGAGAGTACTGTCGGACAGATCAGAAAAAATGATGAGGGGCTTCTTATGGGAAGGAAAAAAGGGAGAGAAAATGCATTTAGTGGATTGGAGGTAAATAATATTTACCAGTTTGCAGTGACCAATTCAATGTAGTTCTGATGTATAATGCAGCTTATGGCAACTAGTTTTCCCTGGACTTTTCCGTTTTGATTGGAACTGAAAAACAGTCATGTCTTGTGTTTCGTTAGTATAATTGGAAGAGTGGCCATTAAATCTCTGGAAATACGATGTGCAGATTTATGTGTAGTATGTCAAATTTTAACTGTTGGATTTCAGGTTGTCCATCATTCTCTTTCAGCAATTGCTGTAGCATACTCCATGTACTCTGGAGAAGGACAGCTTTATACATTCATGGTACTGATATCTGAGGTGACAACACCAGAGATCAACATGAGATGGTAGGTGCTAAGAAGAAGACATGTTGGTGAAGTTCGGCAGCATCCATGTTGCAGCACCCTATGAACTTATGTCTCTTTATGGCTTTCTTTCAGGTTTCTTGATACAGCTGGACTGAAAAGATCTAGTGCATATCTGATTAATGGCGTGGTGATATTTTTTGCATGGCTGGTAAGTGATGTCTTCAATTCTTCATGTGGTAGATACAATGTCATTTTACATGAAGGATTTGTAGCATGGTTTGTTACGTGGATGTAGGAACGGGTATTATCTGGGGTACACTATTTTTAGCAGGTTTTGTTATATGCTGAAGAATCCGCCTCATGTACCCTGAATCATGTCATAACCGTTTAACATGGGTATGTCAAAGCAAATGAAGAGTCCATTTAACATAAGCTGCATGACATATAGAAGGGACCGTTACACTTTGCAGTGCATTGCTACCCCTCTCTCATCCAAAATTTTCTATTCTAGATAAGAGTGGGGAGGCGGTGAGGAATAGAGGTGATTTGTAGTGACTTGGAATGATTGCTCCTTATCATTGACACATGCCATGATTCCATTGTCTTTGAGACATTTAACCATTTCATTGATTCCTATTTAGTATTTGCTAACTGAATTCTGTTACTAAATGCAGGTTGCAAGAATTTTGCTGTTCATTTACATGTTTTACCATGTTTATTTGCACTATGATCAGGTGATTCTTTGTTTATCGCCAACTCTCTCTCTCTCTCTCTCAACAAGGTCTTAACTTTTTCTTCCTGAGGAATTCGGCTATTCTGAAATATGTTTTACTAACCCTCTTTAAATGCCCAAAGAAATTCCCATAATTAAAATCCAACTATTTTGGTTAACTTTATTTGACGGAAAAAGCCATTAAAGTTTTGATCTTAAGAATTTTATGGCCTGAATTGTATGACCAACAATATTATATGAGAGTGAATCCTCTATGGTTCAACACATCCTTAAAATGAGTGTCCTAGAAATGCAAATATTAAGATGGATGTGCAATAATACAAGGTTACATAGACGATAAATTGAGAGGTTGCTTGAGATAGTTGGTCATGTCTTACGTGGACCTCCAAATGCGCCGTCCGTGGAAGTGAAACCATGTTGATTGAAGGCGTTGTAAGCGGACGGGGTAGACTAAAATCACATGGAACAGAGTTGTCTGTTGTCTTAAAAGACCTACAATCTCTTGGAACCCAAGCATACTTGGGAAAAGTAAAACATAACGGAAGCAAAAGATTCATATAGGTTATTCCCATTAGCTTGGATGAAGACTTAGACATAATGGTATGCTTACATTATCTCCATCTTTTGGTGGTTTTCTTTTAATCCTTTACATATTTATATGTCTGTCGATTATGTACAGAACTTGTAGGGTTATAAAATCCCAAACTATTTAATATTGGAATGAAATAGGTCCTTATTGAAATGGATAGTTAGGATCCATATGGCTGACATCAATTAGCTTGGAATTGAGGCGTAATTATCGTTAGTTTGAATTAAAATGGCCGTTATTTGCAGTAAAGGATTTTGAAGAAATTGTTCAAAAACACATTATATTCTTAAAAGTATTCTCTAGGCAAGATTCTGTGGTGATTTCCCATATATCCACGAACTTCATTGATATGGATTTTATTATAAGTAAAGCCTCTTCCCTCCGATAACAATATAGTTTTATCATCAAAAAGTCTATCATTGTGATTACTTTTAGAATGCTGTCAATCCTTCACTTATGATGACTATTTGTTACATTACCTTTTCTTTCAGAATACGTGCCTTCCATTTCTATTTTAATGTTGTTTAGTTTTGAACGAATAAATCGTGGGGCTGTAGTTGCACAAAATATAAATTGTAAATACATCATAATGCAAGTTTGTATAACACCTAAGTTTTAAAATTGTTATTATTCAACACTAATAGAAAATAAAATATATGCATAGTTACAAATGCAGATCAACCAAAAACAGCAGTAGACAATCTAATCTTTTATTAACTGAGAAAATTCGAAGTAAAGATATACGGTTTAAACAGTTGATATACTAGTAAAGAGAACTGTATGGATCTATAGAAAATTCACGTGAAGGAGTAAGCTAATGCTTAACCCTGTAATTTTAAGATTGTCTATCTCCCTTGTTGAAATTTTGGCTCAGTGCAAACCATGTTCTTCACTTATAGTTTGTATAGATTACACAGTAGATGAGACAAACCTTTTGCTGGTAAAAGTATGTGCTTACTGCAAATAAGTTATTGGCTGGTGTGTAATGCTGTTCCTGAAATTGATCAAGGGGTTTTATCACTCTATTATTTCTGACACATGGATCAACATGAATATCTCTGCAATGGTGTACGAGGTTTGGAAATAGAAGAGGGGGTTTGGAAATAGTATACGAGGATCTTCTTTTAATATTCTTTTTCTTTCCCCTCCTTTTTCCTTTCCTTTTGCATACTTCAAGGAGTTTAGGGCAGTATCTGGAATTCCAGAATCTAGCTTCATTTCCTTTCTTTGCCAAGAAGTGCATTCTATTTATCTTCTCTTATTATGTGCTAGTATCAAATGATTTCTAATTTAATTACTAAAAAATTTCTTTTTTTGAAATATGAATAAATAATTGCAGGTCATTCACATGCACATTTTCGGTATTCTTTTGGTTTTTGGAGTCCCCTCAGCTCTTGGTGTGATGAACCTGATGTGGTTCGGCAAAATCATTAAGGGGTTGAAAAAGAATCTTGCAAAAAGGCTGTGACAAGATGTCAGTATGATCAGTTCCCATTGATGCATTTTTCCCACGAACTCCTCTATACTGTACAAATAGGTTATAGGGTAGCTGCAAGGGGAAGAGAGAAGGGTTAAAGACGTCGGAAGAATAGAGGGTTAGTAGAATCAACACATGTAATTGGCTACTGGCAAAGCATGTTCAAGAAGTTCACATGTCCTATATCTGTTTTGAGAAGGAAAGTATAACAATGCAATGAGAAACACCACGGGAAGTAAGTAATACATGAGCCCTGTATATGTGATCTGTTCAAATGATACAGTTGTTTCCATGCGATAAACATGCCAGAGCCAGTATCTCCACTTGCATGTTAGCGTGTTCATATAATATTTGTTGTTTCCTTCAACTTTCATTTACTCGTATACGGGCCATCTTATTTAGTTCCATATTCTACTCCTATTATTTGATTTTATTCTATCTTTGTTTGGCTTCACCTCTTGAAGGCGTGGAAATTTTTTGTCAACTACCAGGATTTTCATTTATTTGTAAAAAGATATAAGTGTTCAAAAGTGAAAGATATGAACTTTGGATTCTCATGTGAGTATTTGCTTAATGTTGCATTGGTCAGAGACTCAAGAGTTTTTGTTTCATAGAAAATGCCTGATAGTACTGCTAACTGTACATACTGATGAAATAAATTATGTTGGAGATAGATTGAAGTTAAAGATGTCCTCATGTTTAGCTAAATATCCATATCTTTAGCTATTGTTATGGTAAGGAAGAATGTGCCAGAATATTGGCATGTTTCCAATTACCTTGAAAAGAGGGAAAGGAAAAGAAATTTGTAAATTTCCCCCTCTGGTTTGGCATGTTAATTTCGGGCATAAAGTTTCTTCCCAATGGAAAGCAAAAGATGCAAGTGTTAGTTTTCCCTCTTTTGCTTCCCTTCTAGTGTAACTTCCAAGACCAAACACTTATATTGGCAGGAATGGACTTGGATTCCACGTTTCAACCATTTTATCTATAATTTGACTTTGTATTTTACATCTAATTTTTTTGAATATAAAACCAAACAAGTATAGTGGATTTACACTAGTGAATGTGGAATACGTAAGGCAAAATCCCTCCATCCAAACAGGTAAGAATGTGGATTTAAGAGGAGATTTCAAAATGGGATTTTTACCTAGCTATACTATATATTAGAAGCTTATTTACCTATGTTCTCTATGTTTTGTAGTTTTTAATAAATATCTAGGTTTTTCTTACAAATTATGTAGGTTGCTCCTTAAAAGGCTCCCACCCCATTATTAGTGCCTTCAATTAAGGGATTCAATTACATTCTTTCTTCTTTTTTCCCTCTCCTCTTCTCTCATTTTTTTTTTACATCAAAATCCCTTAATCTATGCCCAGAATCTCCATCTTCTCTCTTTCCACCATTGGCGACAACTTTATATTATTAAAAAATTGGCAATTGCATCGTTCTTTTGCTGGGAGACTGGACAACACTGAAAATGAAGAAATATTTAGGAATTGTATGATAACTGTATCATAATTGTATTTGAATTGTATAAGATACATCAATGCTTAAAACATAATTATATCATTCTTGTATCACAATTGTATCAATATGGTACATTAGTACCCAAAATAATACCTGATACAATACTAATAAATTAATATATAATTATCATATATTTGTGAAACAAAATGTGAAATTAGTCACGAACTCACAACTGCTCGATCATAAAAATATACAACGAACATACAATTATCATGCATTTGTAAAACAATCCTTTAACAATTATGATACGTATACAATTATAGTACAATCGCGATACATTTCTGAAAAATTGTGATACAATTGTGATCTTCAAGTTTCAATCACAACTCTATACTAAAAATCTAATATAATCGTATTATAATTATATTAGTATTGTATCAAGTATTATGTAGGGTATTGATGTATCATATACAATCACATACAATAAAAACTTTAGAAAGAAAGAAAACAAAATTCAAAACTTACCCACAACTTGATTCTAAAGCAATATTTCGAATTTCGTCTGCATTGTATCAATAAGAAAGAGAGATTTTGGGTGAGTAGTAAGAAAGAGGAAAATTGGGTTTGAAAAGTTTTGGAAAAGGAAAAGAATCGACAATTTTGAGGGGATAACAATGAGTACAAAAAATTAAGAGAGATTTTGGATGATTATCAAGAGAGAGAAAATATTTTTGAAATTCTTGAGAAAAGGAACAGAATCTTAAATGTAGGGGTTATTGGAAATGGGGATAGGTGTCATATAACTGATAGGCTAAATTTAAGGGGTCTTGAATTTTCTTCTTTTTAATGGTTTTGTATATAACTTGTAAATATAGATATATAAAATAATTAATAAGGAACCTAAATAAAGGAGGTAAATATGTTTCTATTATATTATAGCTAGGTAAAAATCCCTTTCAAAATATAAAAACTGTAAAATGACATTTAGATGTCATCTGGAAAAAAATGGGCAGTCTGATGCACAAGACATTCTGTGTTCACACAGGGTTCGAGGAAGGACCACACAAGGGATGTGATGTAGACAACCTATTCTAATACAAACATTAGTGGTTGTTTCATGGCTCGAGCCCATAACTTATAGTTTCTCAAATGAAGTAAAAATAAGGGTGGCAATGAACTTTTATTCGAGTGTTATTCCGTTTTGGGTTTCAACTCAAAAAATTTCTTCGGTATGCAAATACAAAAATTTAAGCTTATGAATTTAACATATATAGACCTAACTCTCCCATCCAAATGAGCTCTATTGAATTTGCAAGACTAGAGCCAGAGGTATGCGAATTTGCGCCAAGGCAAATGAGGTAGCTAAAATCCGTCGAATCTTTCCATGCCCTAACAATATTATAATTTACAGATAACACAAAAAGGTTGTTCTAGATAATTCAATACTAGTTGGCTTTTGGCTGACCTATAGCATATCCAAATAATTATGTTAAATTTTATAATGCAAAGTGACAAAAATCTAATGTATTTTAAAATAGACATGTTCTATCTAGTTAGACAAGAACAAGTGCAGTCAGTTACATACCTTAACTTTGATTCTCCAATTTCCAATAGTTCATGTCATTTTCCAATATCCTAAGTTTACAGCCACCTTTTTATTTAATAAATATTAGGAAGTACAATTCATGGGTTGTATACACCATATTCTTGAAAGTGACTAACTCATTATTTAATCAAAATTAGTATAAAGCAGTCAAATCAGTGGCGTTTTTCTACAAATAGAAAAAGACATGCTGCATAGTTAATAATATTTCCCTCTGATTTCTTTTTTCTTTTTTCTTTTTCAAACTTTATTGAAAAATACTATCTAACCCCTTTCATTTTCAAGTTTTGTGCGTTAGCCCCATGTAGTTAGGTCTTGGGCATTTAGCCCACTTGTTATTCTATAATGTAGACCATTCAGTACGCACATATCAATATCTGAAATAGTTGGGAATGTTGAAATTAAACATGATTTTTTCAAACAAATGCTCATTTATCTTTCAAGTAGAGTGATGAAAGCATGGTTCACCTATTATCATAGAGATTACAACTTCCTTTCCCAATAATTATAACAAATCCAATACACACACTAATACAGGGAGATAATTATATTTTAGAAGAATAAAACTTAATTACACCATTATTTAGGAAATTTGAACTCAAAATTTCAATAAACTTGAGATCGTAACATTCAACTCAAATAAGGTCTCACTGGTTAATATAAAATATTCTATTAGTACTTTGAATATACCTCGGATGGGAAATAAGGAAATAATAATTTCTTACAATAAGGTTTTTCCCCTATAATTTTGTTTTTGTAGCTAGTAAGTTAGGAAGCTAATGACAAAAAATTTCAAACTATAGGTGTGTTAAGTGTTTTTTTTCTTCGAACTGTAGGAGCGTGAAGTGCAAAAGCAGAATTACAAAGGGTATCAAAGCACTTTTTTTTTTTGTTAAAAGAAAGAAAAAGAAGAAGAGATGACGACAAGATGGCGCAGTTTAAGGAATTTAGCGTCATGTCCACATCAGATCAAACTTGCTGCATTATGATCTATCTAGAGGCTGCAGCTGCCATCGTACTTTGATTTAATTATGGCGTCTTTGTTTTCAAATACAACAAAAAAAAATCAACATTGGTAACTTAGTGGCCACTTTCTCTTATTCATAATCATTTGAGAATCATGTCTTCTACTTTTTCGTCATTATATATATAAAATTAAGAATAGCTTCTAAGAGTGAAAACATTAAGTTCTCTGTTCTGCAAAGCGTAAATATTGTTTCAAACTTTTTCTAACTTTATACTTAGAATTAAAGTATAGCATTAATCTGGTGCAAACGCCATATGAAAATATATTTTTGGAGCTACCCGTAGTTGGTAGTAACCCAATTAAAATTTCAAATTTAAAGGTTGAAAATCAGTATGCGCTGATAAAAAACATCAAGCAAAGCGTGAGTCACAAGGTGACTTATCCCATTCATTGTTAGTCTTAATTAATTTATTGTATCTTACCATTTCAACTCCATTTTTATTGACATATGTAAAATCAGAATTTAGTTCATCTAATTTTTTTTATGTAATTATTTATGGCATACGTTTTTATATTGGTCATGTAATAAAGATATGTCTTATCAGCATATTAGAAAGTTGCCATTATACAGTGTCTTCTACAAAATTCTACCGTCTTCTCAACTTGATTTTGAGTCTACCATAAATTTATTCTTGCTTATATATAAGACAATTAAAAAAAAAAATTAAATACAATTATGGAGACAGAGTAAAAAATTGGGTTCTACAAAAAGTGTTTAAACTAAATCCTAAGAAAAAGTAAAATTTTCTTTAAAACTTTCGAATGCAATTCTCATTTTATAATGGTTTAAACTTTTGTATGTAGTTCAGCATAGTCCTAATTACAAGGAAAATTATGAAATTCTATCATGTTTATCCAATTAGTTATGTGTTAGTTATTTATCCATTGATGTCCAAATTTCAATTCCAGAAAAATAGTCAATTTCTTTTATGATTATCTAATTACATGTACTCCTTTAATTACGCTTTCAAGCTTAACCCCACTTATACTGAAATGCCACTTATATTCTCAAATACTTCATTAATACAACCCCTCGTCCCCCCCCCCCCCCCCCC